ATGAAGCTATCCCTGAAGTCTTTTGGTTTCAAAGACATATTTGAACAGAGCAATGAATTAGAAGGAGATTTACTTCCCTGCGGGTCTCTGACGACCTGGCTAACTACACTGGCAACCTTCAAAACCCCTTTTGAACAAAGGGTCTTCTACAGTAACTTCTCTTAACAAAACCGGAAATTCTTGCTTGAGGATATCAGTTCAAATACATAAGGAGAAAAACAAAACAGTATCATTCTTATTTTTATAAAAAAAATTTCTTGGCAGAAAGCAATGCAAGAACTAGATCAAATAGGCAACTGTTTCTTCTAACAACAGTCTTCAGTTAGCAAGTTCCTCTAAACAGAAAGAGAAATCTCACCTAATTCAAGTATCTATTTTGACCATTTATCAAAGAGTGGTTACAATCCTTCCTGTAGATAATCTTCCGACATAAACATTTGTATTCGTTGTCCTATTTGCAGTTATTAACACCTCTTCTAATGTTCATGTGGAATACTTACACTCTTGGTCCATTTTCATTCTCTAACAGGTGTCATACAAGGTGTAAAAGCGACAAAAGCTAGAAAATTGAAAGGTGCAGCACCGTCAAGATACAGTCAAGACAAAACCATCCATGTTAGGATTAAATTCCAACTAAGTGTCTTCTTTTTCAAAATTACTCAGAATTCCTAGTCATCTACTTTTATGAACTCCCTAGCATTAAGCCATTATTACAAGGACTGGTTCTTTTTCATAACAAATCCATTTTCAACTTGTTAACAGACTTTTCTATGGTGGAGTTGAATTTCTTTGTCAAATTCAAAGATTGCAGTCTAGCATCTAAGCTTCAATTACAAATACATAAAAAATATTAAAGATGCTCAATTAAACTATTGTGTAAGTATGAATGATATAAAATTCTATCTTGGGTGGGATGATCCTCAGAATAGCAGTCACAGTGCAAGTTAAAATGGGAATAGCCTATATATTAAGATTCTAACCCCATGAAGGAGTGCTTCACAGAATCACAGAATTTCTAGGTTGGGAGAGACCTCAAGATCATCGAGTCCAGCCTCTGACCTAACGCTAGCAGCCCCCACTAAACCATATCACTAAGCTCTACATCTAAACATCTTTTAAAGACTTCCAAGGATGGTGACTCCACCACTTCCCTGGGCAGCCTGTTCCAATGCCTCACAACCCTCTCAGTAAAGAAGTTCTTCCTAACATCCAACCTAAAACTCCCCTGGCGCAACTTTAGCCCATTCCCCCTCGTCCTGTCACCAGGCATGTGGGAGAACAGACCAATCCCCACCTCGCTACAGCCTCCATTAAGGTACCTGTAGAGAGTGATAAGGTCGCCCCTGAGCCTCCTTTTCTCCAGGCTGAACAAGCCCAGCTCCCTCAGCTGCTCCTCATAAGACTTGTTCTCCAGACCCCTCAATAGCTTCGTCGCCCTTCTCTGGACTCTTTCGAGCACCTCGATGTCCTTCTTGTAGCAAGGGGCCCAAAACTGAACACAGTACTCAAGGTGTGGCTTCACCAGAGCTGAGTACAGGGGGACAATCACTTCCCTAGACCTGCTGGCCACACTGCTTCTTATGCAAGCCAGGATGCTGTTGGCCTTCTTGGCCACCTGAGCACACTGCTGGCTCATATTTAGCTGACTATCCACCAATACTGCCAGGTGGAGAAGGACCTGGCAGCTCTCCAACCACTCATCTCCCAGCCTGTAGCTCTGCTTGGGGTTATTGCGCCCCAGGTGCAGGACCCAGCACTTGGCCTTGTTGAACTTCATACAGTTGACCTCAGCCCATCGGTCCAGCCTATCCAGATCCTCCTGCAGAGCCTTCCTACCCTCAAGCAGATCAACACATGCACCTAACTTGGTGTCATCTGCAAACTTACTGAGGGTGCACTCAATGACCTCATCCAGATCATCGATGAAGATATTAAAGAGGACCGGCCCCAGCACCGAGCCCTGCGGAACGCCACTAGTGACCGGCCTGCAACTGGATTTGACGCCATTCACCACGTCTCTTTGGGCCCGGCTATCCAGCCAGTTTCTAACCCAATGAAGTGTGCGCCAGTCCAAGCCACGAGCAGCTAGTTTCTTGAGGAGAATATTGTGGGAAACGGTGTCAAAAGCCTTGCTGAAGTCAAGGTAGACCACATCCACAGCCTTTCCCTCATCCACCCAGCGCGTCACTTTGCCATATAAGGAGATCAGGTTCATCAAGCAGGACCTGCCTTTCATAAACCCATGCTGACTGGGCCTGATCACCTGCTGGCCCTGCAAGTGCTGCGTGATTACACTCAAGTTAATCTGCTCCATGAGCTTCCCTGGCACTGAGGTCAAACTGACAGGCCTATAGTTTCCCGGGTTTGCCCTCCGGCCCTTCTTGTAGATGGGCGTCACATTTGCTATATATTAATATGTCGACTGGGACCTCCCCCGATAGCCAGTACTGTTGATAAATGATGGTAAGCGGCTTGGCCAGCTCCTCTGCCAGTTCTCTCAGTACCCTCAGGTGGATCCCATCTGGCCCCATCGACTTGCGCACATCCAAGTGCTGTACCAGGTCACCAACCGGTTCTTTGTGGATAGTGAGGGCCACATCCTGCTCCCCATCCCCTTCTACCAACTCAGGGTATTGAGTATCCAGAGAGCAACTGGTTTTGCTGCTAAAGACTGAGGCGAAGAAGGCATTAAGCACCTCCACCTTTTCCTCATCTTTTGTAACTATGTTTCCCTCCGCATCCAGTAAAGGATGGAGATTCTCCTTAGTCCTCCTTTTTGTGTTGATGTATTTATAAAAACATTTAAAACATTTTTTGTTATCTTTAACGGCAGTAGCCAGATTGAGCTCCAGATGAGCTTTGGTCTTTCTAATTTTGTCCCTGCACAACCTCACAACATCCTTATAGTCAGCACAAGTGGCCTGCCCTCTTTTCCAAAGATTATAAACCCTCTTTTCTCTCCTAAGCTCAAGCCACAATTCTCTGTTCAGCCAGGCTGGTCTTCTTCCTCACCGGCTCATCTTTGGGCATGTGGGAACGGACCATTCCTGCGCCATTAAGATATCATTCTTGAAGAGCGCCCAGCCTTCCTGGACTCCTCTGCCCTTCAGAACCGCCTCCCAAGGGACTCGGCTAACCAGTGTCCTGAGCAGCTCAAAGTCAGTCCTCCGGAAGTCCAATACAGCGGTTTTACTGGTCCCCTTTCTGGCCTCGCCAAGAATAGAGAACTCCACCATTTTGTGGTTACTCTGCCTAAGACAGCTCCCGACAACCACATCCTCCACCAGTCCTTCTCTATTCGTGAAGAAAAGGTCTAGCGGGGCACCTCCCCTGGTAGGCTCACTAACCAGCTGCTTCAGGAAGCTATCTTCCACGCTCTCCAGAAACCTCCTAGACTGCTTTCTCTGGGCTGTGTTGTGCTTCCAGGATATATCTGGGAAGCTGAAGTCCCCAACAAGAACAAGTGCCGAAAATTTCACAACTTCTGTCAGCTGCCTGTAGAACTCGTCATCAGTCTCCTCATCCTGGTTCGGCGGTCTATAACAGACCCCGACCAGGACGTTAGCGTTGTTGGCCTTCCCACCTATCCTAACCCACAGGGACTCAACCTTATCATTCCCAGCCTCAAGTTCTACAACATCGAAAGATTCTCTAATATAGAGAGCCACACCACCACCCCTTCTGTGCTGCCTGTCCCTTCTGAAAAGCTTATATCCAGTCATTGTAGCACTCCAGTCATGAGAGTGGTCCCACCATGTCTCCATGATGGCAACCAAGTCATGGCCTGCCTGCTGCACAATGGCTTCCAGCTCTTCCTGTTTGTTACCCATGCTGCGTGCATTCATGTAGATGCACTTCAGTTGGGCCATTGCCTTATCCCCCAGCCTTGCCATTGTTCCCCCTGGCACAGCTCCAACAAGCCTTGTTTCAGCCCTGTCCCCCTTCTTACCTAGTTTAAAGCCCTCTCAATGAGCCCCGCCAGCTCCTGGCCTAGGATCCGTTTTCCCCTTAGAGATAGGGACCTGTCTGCGGCCATCAGGCTGGGTGCCAAGCAAAGTGCACCATGGTCAAAAAACCCAAGATTTCTGTGTTGGCACCAGCCTCTGAGCCATGTGTTTATCAGGTGGGCTTTCCGTGTCCTCTCTGTACCCCTCCCTGCCACCATGGGTATGGACGAAAACACCACCTGTACTCCCACTCCATCCACTAACCGTCCCAGTCCCCTAAAGTCCCATTTGATAGCCTTCAGGCTTCTCTCTTCAACGTCATCACTGCCAGCCTGGACTATCAAAAGAGGATAATAGTCAGAGGGGTGAACCAGGTTGGGAAGCTTTCTGGCAATGTCTCTGACCGTGGCTCCAGGGAGGCAGCAGACTTCCCTATGGTTAGGATCAGGCCAACAAATAGGGCCCTCTGTTCCCCTGAGAAGAGAGTCACCTACAACAATCACCCTTCTTTCTGTCTTGGTGGAGGCAGTCCTGAGGCGTGGATTCGACCTCCTCGCCCTAGGCATACTCCTGGGTAGGCTTCCTATCTCATCCTCACCCACTGGTCTCTCAAGCTCCATGGCCTCAAATTTGTTGCGTAAGGGCACCTGGGAAGGTGGGGCCGGTGGGGGAGGGCATGGCCTGTGATGTCGAGCAGGGACCTGTTTCCATTCCTCCTCAACACTCAACTCCTAGGTCCCTTCCCTCTGCACAACAGCGACAGGGCAGGGGGTCCACCCCCATTTGGGGTGTCTCACCCCGGTACCTCTCCTTGAGGCCCTGCAGGGAGTCGCTCCACCAGTCTATCTCCCACTCGCACTCCCTGATATCCCTCAACCTCTCCACCTCCTCCTTGAGCTCCACCACCATGCGGATCAGGTCATCCACCTGCTTGCAGCTCACTCACGCAGTTTCTCTGCTTCCCGCTGATGGCAGGAACAGGCTCAGACACTCCCTGCATCTGGTGACCTGAACTGCTGCATTTTTTAACGGGTAGTCGGTCTGGGTGGGTAAAGCCTACAGCACCCGGTATTCCCAGGATGTCTCCCATCCAAGTACTAACCAGGCCCTACCCTTCTTAGCTTCCAAGATCAGATGAGTTTGGGCATTGCCAGGGTGGTATGGCCATAGGCAAAAATAGCTTCAACACCTTTATATTTATGAAAAGGAGGAGACATAAGATGGGAGATTGCTTTTCCAAATAAAATGCTAATATTATTATAAGATTGTCATTTATGTTTGAACAAATCAACATTTCTTTGCTTATGCTAGAGAAAGGGAATTCCTCTGCTTCCTCCTTTCCTCTTACTGGAAAACAAATTCAAAATAGTAATTAGCCAGAGTAAATATTGGAAAGTTTTTGGAATACCAAAGTGAATTATAGTCAGTAGTGGATCCTGAAAATAACTTTTTTTGGTAGGAGAATCAGTTTTTTTGTTTGTTTGTTTTTGTCTTTGAAAACTTAAGGAAAGGGAAAAAAAAGAAAAAAAAAGAAAAAAAAAAAAAAGGATGCAAAACTAAATTAGCTTACCTGAATGCACAACTAATGAATTTGCCTTAACATGGCAAGCACAGTATGCCATTGCCTTTGTCCCTGACTTATTATATCTAAAAATCAGGTAATAATTTGCACTGGCTTGTTGATCGTAATATGTACATAGATGGGGAAAGATATAGTAATTTTGTGTTAATATCTTATATCTGCTGGGAGGGAAATGTAAAGCTAAAACTATTTTTCACTGGTATAACAAACTAATGATTTCTATATGCTAACCATTATCAATAGGATTACAAAGTCACATGGCAGTTAATACCATGTCATATAAGAGATAAAGATCTAAATACACTTATTGGAAGAATGTGATATCCTACTCATCATTCATTTAGTTAGTAAATCAGATTGCAGTGCTGAAGGCTGTATATGTGACCTATTACTACATATGTAATGACTATCATTTCTGTTCTGCACAGCTAATGAATCAACCTTTAATTTTTTTTTTTTTTTTTACAAAGATGAATGGAAAGCATAGCATACAATAAAAACTTGTCTTTCATCAATTTCAGATGATATGTATGTGCACACATTCACTTTGTTGGTTGGATTGGCAAGGAAGCCTTTAGTATTTACAATGCCATTGCAAATACTCCAGGTGGTCCCCATAAATTATTTGCATGAGGTTGTACTTCAGGACACAAAGTGACAGTGTGCCAGAATCTAAGTCCGCACATTCTAACAAATATGCCAGAATTGTCACATCACCATATTTTGAACAGTGCATTGTTGCCATTCTGTCATTCTGTACCAAGGGCCTTTGGCTTCTCAGCCCCATGCATCAGCCCTAGAGAGCCACTCACAGCTTTTGGCACTGCTGAAGAAAAAGAGTCTGGGTAGTGATAAAATTTTCCCTCTGACAACCCACCCAACACATGACTTCTGTGTAATCATTTTTGGTTCTATGTAATCATTTTTAGGCATCCAGCATAAAATTGTTCCCCATCATCATACTAGATGGAAGGTGATCTATTTCTTCTAAACCATTAACATTTTCACTGTCTCTCAGAGGGTTTACTCAGATGGTGCACTACTGTAGTCTTTTATAGCTTTCCCTAGTTTGTAGATGTATAGGAAAATGAAGACTATATAGTACCAGTTAGGAAACAAACATGTAACCCATTGCCACAAGATTAATTATAGTGTGAGTTTACTTAGAGCATGAGCTACTTAAGTTTTAGCTCTCTGTATACTTTTAATTTTATATTAAGATCCTTGGTTTTATCATTTGTATATTAATGTCAGCCATCACAGTTCTCCTCTTTAATAAGGCTTGAATAGATTTGATGTTTAATTTTCAAACATCTGGAAATTTGTACCAGCTGAAAAAAAAATAAATTATAGTACAGACTATGTTTACCAATAATGCTGTAAATACTCTGGACACCAAAACAAGGCTGCAAATTCAGCACCGTTCTCAGAAAGTGAATTTGTTCAATGGAAAACACAATAGTCAAATGTAGTTTAGAGTAGTCAAACTTATTAAAAAACAAAACAAAACAAAACAAAACAAAAAAACAATACCTGAAACCTTGTGCAATCAGATTTAGCCTGAAGTAAATTTTTACAGCTAAATTATAAACAACCCAAAATAGGAAGTTATGTAATAAAAGTGCTGACACCATCTTAACTACAACCTAGAGTTGCAAACAGCAATGCTATAATGAGTCAGATTCATTGTGTCTTTCAAAAACCTGGTTTCCTTTTTAGAACTACTTCACCGCTGATGGCCCACATTTGCATTACATAAACATTCATGATGAAACATCTTACCAGTTCATCTGAACAGCATGGAATAGAGATCATCTTCGTTTAATTAGTTCTGAGTTTGCCTAAAGGCTTTAGGAACTACAAAATTTGCAAGCTTGTTTTTACAAATTAGTTGCGAAGTAGCATCTATCTTTTCTGTTTCTCCATCAAGGTAATATGCTTTTCTCACATGTATCTTTTTTTTCTTTTTTTCCCCCTAATGATCTGTTTCTGATAGTCAGCTGCTTTTTCTGCTCTATAGTTCACTGAGGGCACCATGTTATCTGCATTATTCATTACTGAAGCTATGGTATACCTTGGTTAGATTCTAAACACAAAACAGTTTCTAGGCATAACTTTATGTCTTCCATAAAAATCATGAATTATGTAATGCACAAATCTCTCCACAATAACCTCAATTCTTTCTCTGGCAAGTCAGTTGGCTATTTTTATTAAATATTGCTCATCTGCCATATGGACTCCAGTATTCAAGTTAATTATAAAATTGAAATATGGCAATGCCCTCTGAATCTGTAAAATCATTTTCCAATTAAAACTACTTTAGAACACCGCATATAAAAAATAATTTTATATAATTATGCACATCAAGAATAAGGGATTTTTAATTGCCTAAACATTACAAAAATATCTCCATTTGTTCTCATTGTGCTCTGTATAGAATTTAACATGCCTAAGTGAACAAATGCTATCATTGTTTGAGAAAGCTGGAGTAACTGAAGCAACTGAAAAACAAAAATCACTAATCATAAACAACTACAAATCTCTTTATTTCTGATTGCTAGTTCTACTGTTCCTGGATTTTTCTTAATGTTTCATATTTATGCTTTATACATTTGAAATGGGTAGTTTGTGGAAAATTTTTCTGAACTTTACTTTTAGACATGTTCTATCATCATCGATGAAATTAAGGAATAAATTAATTCTTTTTATACGAGTAGGTGAATTTGCCTCCAGGAGGAAAATATTTATATGTTTAGTCTGGTATTTGGTATGATGAATTAGAGAAATCTTTATGATGACATCTAGCATGCTTTATGCTGAAGCAGGAAAGCACAATATGTAGTGTATTGAAGATCAGGTTAAACAATAGTTGCTAAATAGTTAGCGCTTGCTGGTTTTCCATTCTTTTGTTGAATTGTATATGTACTTCTGTGTAATCTAATAGTGCTTCTCAATATTAAAAAAAAGTAGGGTTTTCTTCAGAATCTTTCTCCATGGGGCACTATCATATGTAAAATTCAGTTATCAACTGCATTTCATGTATTTCGTTAATTCAACATGTCTGGAGAAGTCTTATCAATCCAAGATTTTGCAATGTCCTAGTCACAAATAATTCAGACAATTTAGCATGAACCTGTCCTTAAGTTTTCCCGTGCCAATACAAAAACTTTCATAGCAATCAAATCTTCACAGTTAAGAAAGGATTGTATGATAATGCAATGATAATACATAATGATAACCAAAATTATATTCTCACACAGTTTAATAGTTGACTATAAATTGATCTGAGCTTTTCCCCAAATTGTATTCACTTAATTACTTATCCCTTATAAGACAATAAGGGTGTAAAATGTGTTAAGTGAGAGGATCACAAGGAAAGGAATGGTAGTTCTAGTACCTAACAATTTGACAAGTGCTTAGCTTGGCTCTCACACTGTTGTGAAAGTTGTTGAGTGGATATATCTGTAAAAGGGAAAACTTCCTGTCATGGGAAACCAATGAAGAATGTAATTGGAAAGTATCTTGTAGGATACTTGATCTTATGAGTGAAGAAAGGTGGAAGATTGATGAATTGAGAAGTGTATGAAATCAATAGTGCTGATGTAGTACATTTGGTCATTTATAAGACTTGGTTCTGTCACTTTGATTAAAAGGTACAGAATTAATAGATTTAAATATGGCTGTAAGGCTGCAAGCATCATCATATACTTCTAGTGAGATGCTTATCACTCTTATTAAAACATTTGACCAATTAACTAGAAAAAATGTACAAAAGAGATTCTACAAATGATACAAAGGCTGAGAGAAGTTTTAAAGAAAGAAAAAGAGAAGAAACTGATACCATGTGATCACTTTTGTTTTAGAAACTGGGTATAAATAGATAACACATTTTATTAATCCTACATATTGACAAAGACACATATTTTACAGAAAGATTAACTATCCCAGAAGAAGTGACTATGAAAAAAAAAAAAAAAAAAAAAAGAGAGAGAAAAGAAAAGAAAGAATAGGCATTAGGAGAGATAACAGCTGTACTTGATTTCACATAATGAAAAGCAAGTGCTGTACATACAGAAAGGAGATCCTTTGGAGAGCATAAGAAATTATTTGGTGATATTTGACCTCACACCTTCAGAAGCACTTTTTCTATTGTCAGCATCCACAGCTAAAGGAAGGATGCTAAAGACTGCAAATAGCACTGAGAAAACACATGAACATGTGTAAATATTTTTTTACTGTGGTAAATAGATGAGGTAGATAGTTTAATGTCTTTACTAAAGATGAGACAAAATGCATTCTCATTAAGTACAGAGACATCAAACTGCATAGAGCTGGAAATCCACTGAAAGGCAAGGCTGCTATAGCAAGAGACATTGGCACACTGAAGTGAGCTGACACAGGCTTCATAAAGGTAAATGCAAAGACCAGGAAAAGAATGAACCTTGTAGCAGTATGCACCAGATGCCGACTAGATAGAAAGTAGCTTTGGAGGTTTGTAGGAAAGGAGGTGGAGATCTCTGTAGACAACAAAATGGATATTAATCTGTAGCATGACATCATTTTGAAGAATTACAACCACATACTGTGATG